TCTTATGTATAACGGCGGACATAATTTAGTTAGAGCCAAAAATGGCCCCCATGGTCTGTGAAACCACCATGGCCCTCGGCCCCGGCATTTCTCCACTCGCTGGAAGGTGCAGATACAATTATAGTTCAATGTCACAATAAAACATTGCTTTATTAGATTTTTTTTTTTTAGATCGGGGGCTCCTGGATCTCGGGGGCCCAGGTTGAAAGAACCTGTTGAACGTGCGCGGTAGATACTCCAGTGACTTCTGGTAGGCAAGCCCGTATCAAGTTGGTATCTAATAAAACCACTATAATACAGACTCTTTTCAACAAAACGTTCAAGTGTAAAATAGTGTACTGTTGTAGTTTTTAGCTGCGGTATAAGTATTTATATTTAGCGAAATGAATAATTTGTAAAAGCCAGTCTTGCGACGGTACTGTCTACCTGATCAATAGGCCTACACTGTGATGAATAAAATGTCTCTAAACTTGCATTGGACAATGATGAAGTTGTTACACACTTCATTCAATATAATTCCGTAATTCTTCGATGATTACGGTACGTCATGAGAGAGAGTTAGCTGGCAAAATATAAGAAATTTGTTTACTTTAGCATGTTGTTGTTGTTTTTTTTTTTTTTACTTTAGCATGTTGTTTTTTTTTTTTTTTTTTTTTTTTTTTTTTTTTTAAATTTCCAGTGAGATTTTTCGTAGATACATCACTGGATTGTCCCGCATTACGGCGAGCCAACAGCCAAGGCGTGTCATATTTAGTGGCACGCAGCTCGGTCGCTTTTTTTTTTCCTCGATAGGTTAAACAGAGTCAATTAAGGACGTCGCACAGTGGCGGATCTGAGGGGAGGAGTCAGGGGGGACCCCGGCAAAAAAAAAAATAAAAAAAAAATAAACAAATAAAATAAACAAATATAAAGACCTACCTTTTCGGGACAAGTGAGCTGATTTTTTTTTTTTTTTTAAATTAGAAGCTCATTTCTTGCTTTAAATTAGAAGCTCATTTCTTCAATTTTTTATTTACATTTTCGTTTTGACATACTATAAAACACATAATTCATAATATCAATCATAGATAAATTGTTCTCATTCGTATTACAGTAAATAGGCCTTTTAGGTGTGTACTGGTATACATACAGAAAAAAAAAACAATTGAGCAGTTATATACGTATTGTTTTTTCCGTGAACCGATGAACCCAAAAGACAAATTTTGATTCTTAGATGGCAAGAAATGAGCTTCTAATTTAAAAAAAAAAAAAAATCAGCTCACTTGTCCCGAAAAGGTAGGTCTTTATATTTGTTTATTTTATTTGTTTATTTTTTATTTATTTTTTTTTTTTGCCGGGGTCCCCCCTGACTCCTCCCCTCAGATCCGCCACTGTGCGACGTCCTTAATTGACTCTGTTTAACCTATCGAGGAAAAAAAAAAAGCGACCGAGCTGCGTGCCACTAAATATGACACGCCTTGGCTGTTGGCTCGCCGTAATGCGGGACAATCCAGTGATGTATCTACGAAAAATCTCACTGGAAATTTAAAAAAAAAAAAAAAAAAAAAAAAAAAAAAAAAAAACAACATGCTCAAGTAAACAAATTTCTTTTATTTTGCCAGCTAACTCTCTCTCATGACGTACCGTAATCATCGAAGAATTACGGAATTATATTGAATGAAGTGTGTAACAACTTCATCATCACGATGAGATCGTTCAAAATTATTTAAAAATTTACAAAAATACCTAATATTGCGTCTGTAAAAATAGATTCAAATAAATGAAATTTGCTCAAGTAGAATGTTTATGCAATTTCAATGCATTCATTTATTTTTTTTATTTACATTTTCGTTTTGACATAATATAAAACACATAATTCATAATTCGAAATCGAATCGGACTTTAAAGTGATTTCCAAAATCTCTTTATATGAAATTATAATAAGATATAATTAATGTTTAGAAAACAAACTAAAACAAATGTCTTACCTGGAAGTACGTATAATTGTACATTATGATCGTATAAACATAATCATGCTAGTGGTTCGCTGTATGTGTATGTGGTCCTGTGTAGTTTGTTCTGCTATGATGATGAACGTTCTTTTCTGTCTGATCGGGGCTCCTGGAGCTCGGGGGCCAGGTTCAAGGAACCTGTCGAACCTGCGGTAGTTACGCCACTGACAATTAGGTCTGGTAGGCAAGCCCGTATGCAAGTTGGTATCTAATAAAACCACTATATAACACACTTTTCTCTCAAGAGTCAACAGCCAAGGCGTTCATATTTAGTGGCACGCAGCTCAGTCGCTTTTTTCTTTCCTAGATAGGTTAAACCAACACAGTCGATTAAGGACGTCGCACATTGGCGGATTTGAGGGAAGGGGGGTCAGGGATCCTAACACGCCCCCCCCCCCGGAAAAAAAATAAATAAAAAAATAAAATAAATAATATAGATCTACCTTTTCAGGCAAGTGAGCTGATTTTGTTTTTTTAAATTAGAAGCCTGATATATTGCAGAGCGATGAGATCGTTCAAAATTATTTAACAATTTACAAAAATATCTAATATTGCGTCTGTAAAAATAGAATTCAAATAAATGAAATTTGCTCAAGTAGAATGTTAATGCAATTTCAATGCATTTATTTATTTTATTTTTTTTAATTTAAATTTTCGTTTTGACATAATATAAAACACTTAGAAAATTACATAAACGGCAGATGCAAGTAATTTAACAAATACAAAATCCTGCATAATAATGACACAGGATGCTAAAAACATTAAACCAAATTACCATCAAATAACTTGCGGTATGCTTAATAGTCATGATGTGGCCTATATATGGTTATGATGTGATGTAATCATGACCATATTTAGGCATGTCACATGTTTTTGTCCAATAACATTTGATATTCTGGACAGGGCGTTAGAGAGTCGGATATTTTCTTTTTATGAATATTATCATTTATAAGTATTATTTTTAATCGCATGGAAGTTCTTCTCTAACTCTGTCATGATAATAAGAAAAAGAGTGCAAGTTATCTTTCAGAGTTGTGATTTAGTTTCTTGTTGTGAGCTTTCAATGAGTATTATTTTTATTATACTGCGTTTTCACGGCGGGCGCACATACCTCCCCGGGCCCCTCCAAAAAATTACTTGCAAGTAGATAAAAATCACCTAAAATCACCTTATTTAGTGAGTTTTATATGCCAGTGGACAAATATATAACACACCTAAATATACACTTGGTATTCGATTAGTGTATTTAATATCAAGTGACATTTTCTATTTACACCATTTAATGACAAAATAATTAATTTGTTGTTGTTTGTGCCATTGTCTATGTAGCCCTAAATTTAGTTCCATTCCCATACTTATTATTAGTTTCATTCGATTTGTGACGAATCGTTTTTTTTTTTTTTCCATTAAAAGAGTGGGAGCCGCACAATTGACATTCGATAACATAACCCCTTCAGTGGCGGCGCTACAACGCCCCCCCCCCCTCTTTCCACAGTCCGGGAAGGCTTTACCCCCATCCCATAGGGGAAATTGAAGAAATTCATCAGGGGATTAACAAAAAAGATATTTTAAAACGTTGAGATACACCAAAAAAAAAAAAAAAAAAAAAAAAAAAAACATTCTTAGGTCAAGGGGCTCTATATTAGCGTCTACCTGCTTATTATCTTTAAAAATGTTCTCATTGGGGAGGGAAACTCCCTCGCCGGCTCAGGCCTACATCCCTCTGACAGCCCTACACGCTAAAGTACAACTCTTCACATGCCACTTCAAAAATTACTCGCACCTCCCCAGTCGTCCGATAAAAAATCACGTTCAAGTAGTTGAAAATCATATAAAATCAACTTATTTGAGAATTAGCGCCCCTCGATGGATCATCAAGGCACCCCCATCCCCCAATTCTAGACACGCTATTGCACAGCAGCATATTCGCGATAACAAATGTGCATTTCATGGATAGGGAAATTCAAATTATAGTTATAGTTGGCAAATCAAATAAAATTTTTTATAATACATACTGTATGCAGTACCCCATAATGCTCTATGTGTCTGTAAAATGAACTTGAAATAAATTAAACGGGAGCATGTATAATAATCGATGCACTTTGTTTATTTTTTTTTAATGATTTTAGAACACTACAGCAGATAGGCCTACAAGCATTCGGAAAGTAATCCTCTAAACACTACAATAGCATGTACATTCATATTCTTAAATGAAAAAAAAAAATGCTAATTTAAAAGTAAGAATTAAGTTGTCTTCTTTTAATGTGACACAGATCAAGTTTTTAATTTATTCATAAAATTTTTACTAAAAAAATTCTAAAATTACCATGAAATTTATATCATATATATATCATTTATTTTAATTATAAAACATATAGAATACAAAGACAAACAAGATTACAAAATACATGCACTTATATATAGTTATATATATCGTAAATTCTTGAATAAGCGTCGCTCTTGAATAATCACTGCACCAAGCATGACTTTTTCTTTAAGCACCGATGCGCTTAATCGAGACAGTATATGAAACATTATGAGCCACATGGTTTTAAATACAAGGTATACAGTGTTAAAATGAATAAATAACACAATGAAGACGTGAATGTGTGAAATAGGCAACATGGGAACTGGTATGGAAAGCGCCATGCCAACATTTTTTTTTTGGCATAATAGATTGTAAAAAGAAGTATTCTATTTATTGCCAATATTTTGAAGTATAAAGTTGATTATTGCATGAAGTAAAGTGCCACGCCAATCGAATAAGCACCGCAATGAAGACTCAAAATATTTGATAAGTGCCGCAGCGCTTATTCAAGCATTTACGATATAATTTTACATATATATTGTATATATATATATATATAT